CCTGCTGAGGTGTTGGGCGCATTTCTTCCCCTGTCTACATATTCACAGGCTCCCCATTCCAGGCCTCACCAAGTTACAGGATTTCCTTCTGACCTTGGCCAGGCTAACTGCTCTCTTCCCAAGGAGCAGCTTGCTGGGGAAAAATCCAAGAGAATCTACACTCCTTTGGCCTGGGATGTCTCATGGTGGAACATTTCTACGCAGTGCCCATTAACTCCGACATTTTCAGTTATCAGCAGACATTATAGGAAGTGCTCAGCTCTGCATGCCACCATTTATTCAAGCTTTTTAAATTTCAATAATCTTTGACCTTCCCTTTTTCATTCATTGATGTTATAATGATTTGCTTCTCCCCTGTTTCTTTTTCATTAGCTCCTCTTTCTGAGGAATTGCTCTTCTGTCTGACAACCTTCCCTAAGCAGAGAACCAAGCATAGCAGTAAAAGTGCCTCAGAAAAGGTATAAGAACAGAGAAAACAAATGTGATATTTGCTGTAGGTATTCTCCAAGCCTCAGCTATTTGCAGTTCACAGAACTCAAGCCACAGGGGGATTGAGGACTTCAGTAAACTTCAGAGTTTTCTCTTCCAAATCTCTTCTTTGGCCCAAGTAAACTTTCAGCAACAACAACATCCTACGGCAAGGAGTTTTGCAGCCGAAGTACACGTTGTGAGAAGGACTAACTTCTTCCTTTGTTCTGAATCCTTAGCAGTTTCATTTGATATTCTCCCTAATTCTTCTAACAGAGGAGAAAGCAAGCAGCAGCTATGATACTGTCCATGCTCTAGGGGACTCTGTTGTATCCTACATCAATCTTTTCAACAAGGAGGCCCTGTCAGATTAGCTGATATTCAAAAACTGACAGAACTAAATCAGGAAAACATTCACTTGGATAAGTATTAATTCCAAGAACCCTAAGAAAGAAGTCTATTACTTAATCATGTCAGTCACTGAAACTTGCTTGTCCATGGTACAGTACAAGACCAGTAATGATTTTTTTAAAATGCCATAGGAATGTGTCTTTTCACATTCGCTAATTTCACTAAGCTTTTTTAGTAAAATTAAATCTCCTTCTGTATAAGAGAAAAGTCTAAGACTTCACTGGCAATCTAGATTTCCTGCGGAAAGATGAAGTCTTCTGAAAACCTCCAAACCACCACTTTAGATTCTTTTCAAGAATCTGAAGATAGGAATGTAACTGCTCAAACACTAAAGTGTCCATTCCACCCATCCAATTCCATTGCAGTGGAAAGGTCATTCAACAACAAAGACCTCTTCAAAGGGCCACAATTCAGTTGCACAGAGCTCTTCCTATCTGACTCACCAGGAACCGTTCGTGCTTGCAGAAACGCTGTTGTTAAACTAAAGCTTTGTGACCTAGATCCAGATGATGTTCTTACCTGGTTCCCTCCACTTTTTGGATTGACAAAAACCAGCAGCGGCTTCATGAGTGGAGAGGAGATAGGCTTTATCACAAATGGCCGACCTTTGTTATCCTGAGAAACAGAAGCAAGAAACAGCTTTAGTATGAGCTATGTATGTTTCCCTGCCTTAATGTGTGCCGGTGACCCAACCTAGCTCTGACAAAACTACGTCAGGTACTGGAAATAGTACAGCCACATTAATGTAGTGCTCAGTTGGGACTAATTTATCCAGCTGAAACAGTTGAGTAAGAAAATAAGAAGGAAAAAAACCCTTCAGGCCAGCACAAACCTTTTTTTAAAATTTTACTCAATGTTATTTCCCCTAAAAAAACATTATTCACACAGCACTAAATGTGTCAGACAAAGTGCTATTTCTAATACGAACAATTTTCCAATGGAAAATAGGAGGAGATAAACTACTTATTTTGACAATTCCATCTAACAGACAAGTTGTATCAGTACTTAGCCATGGATGACCTGCTCGCGACTTCTTGCCCTTGCTGGCCCTCCCACTTTGAACAAATGTCACAGATCAAACATGACAGGTCAGTGAGGAAGCTTTTTGCCTCCCTTCTCTCTAGACCTGCAGAACACCAGCGTGCCCAGTGGTGAGTGCACTCTCCTGGGCTGTGGCAGCCAGATTCAAGCTTCTGGTCTGCAGTTCTCCCACCACCCAAGTGAGGACATTCACCAGAGAGCTCTGTCTATGCAGAGGTGAGTCTTCCTCCACCTCTCCCTATAACGCTGTTCTTTATGTATATAATTTATCCACGAGGCAGGGTTCTATAAACTGTGTGATAAACCAAATCATCAGATGATTCATCTGTTTGCTCTCTCTGTGGCCCAACGTCAATTTTCACACAGGCAGGATATTTCTACTATGAGAACTCCTGAGGGAGATACGCTCAAATCAGGTCAGACCCTTGCATCTGTGCACTTACCATGGATTTCACAACCCCAATTTCACACCCCTGCTCTGCCTAGTGGAAACCAACCATCTGAGTGGAGTCTTTTACATCCCAAGGGAATGCTGTTTCATTCGGCTGCTGGTCCTTCTGGAGTCTGGTATGTTGTTTCTCGAAAAATCAACTCCGCAAATAAGAAACTTCTTGTACAAGTTTTATCAAAACTGACCTCTTCCCACAACAAATTCAGTAATGTGCAATTTTTCAGTGGAAAAAAAATATTAAAAACTGCAGTAAAGTCTGCATTGAGACACTTAAACAAAAGAAGTCTGATTTCTAAAGCACCTGAGTACCTACTTCATTGCTTCTTTTGCTGGCTTTTCTTTTAAAAGACGTTCTCTTCTTTCGCCGTGTTGACGTCTTTAACGAGTTCTATACCAAAAGAAAAAAGAATACATGAAAAGCAAAATAAAATTTAGAAGACAGGCCCAGACAGAGCCCCTTTACGAAGCTCTTCCATGCATGTCCACTTGGAGAATGATAAGAGTATCTGGCACATGCTCGAGTTTTAAATTACATGCGCGGCATGCTTTACACTTCCACACCACCGTTTATGGAGAAAGCCACACACGGAGACCAGACTGGTGCTTTGGAACTGGAAACTTTCCCACGCTGTGAGGGGGGAAAAAGATCAGATGCTCCCATAGACTCACATAACACCACATGTTGTACCTGCCAACCCTCCCAATAGGGGTAGGAGACGCCCATTTCCCCTTCGGGGCTCCAGTCTCCTGCCCAATCAGGCTCGTCTCCTGGTATGGAGACCACCTGCATAAAGATGTAATAAAAAACATGATAAATGAGATATTTTTCATGTTTTTTTTTTTCTTCAGTAGGAAAGAAAACAACAAGTTTTAGCTCTGGCAACCATTATGACTCAACAAAACACAGGCCACCATGGTGTACGATGCTGGCACTGTAGAGTCAGTTCCAGCCCATCAAGAAACTTGTGTAAACATCTGCTACGGAACAAACTGAATTGTTTACATATAAGGATTTGGGTGATGAGGGTGTTTGTGGGGGCTTTGTTTGTTTTTAAATAATAATATCACTTAACTACATGGGAAAAAAAATAACTGTGAAACTGCTTGTATTTTTACAGAACCTATTAAAATACAACTTGCAAAGCTATTCTCCAGGCTGGCGATAGCCTGCTCAGTGATACTGAACCACAAAGGTGTTCTGGTGTGATAAAACCAGTCTGAAAATGGGAATCTTATTTTTAATTATATTAAATCAGTAGCTGAAGTCATACCTGCAGGAAACCCTAACCCTTTGCATATGACTGAAATTTTGTATTATAGAAAATACTGTAAATATTTTCTCAGTATTTCAATTCTTAGTCTAGCCATCACCAGGAAATAAGGTAACACAGGGAACTAGAAGAAAGTTTATTGATTTTCTTCTGGCTTCAAGAGGGAACAAGATCCACTCAGCTTGTCCAAAAGTTCATTTCCATCCTGACCTTATTCAAAAGCATACCACTAACAAAAAACGTCAATGACCAGAGATCATAACATCTGTAAGCAGTGGTGCCTGTCCTTAATCCTGTTTGCTAACCAGCATTAGCAAGAAGAGCTACTAGACTCTGTTTAATACCTAACAACCACTTCCAGAACTTCAAGACTTCAGTACAACACATTGGATATAGAAGTTAAGGCTTCCCATCTCTGAGAAGTTAAGAAAAACCAACAGCTAACTCAAATACCTAAAGACACTGTCCTTTTTCACACAGACCAAGAGAAGCCTGCCATATAGCCCAAGGTCCCAAGCTTTTTGTCACCTCTCAACATTCCTTGTGGACCAGGATATAGTTATGCCTTGTTGCTCACCAAAAATACTGAAGACAAGACGGCTCTGCGGAGCAATTACAGGACATTTGCCCTTTTAGACTATATTTTGAGAAACTATATAAAGAAGCGTTCGTACTCTTCCCAGCTCTGATGCCAAGTGATGTTGAAAGCATGATAAGCCACAAAGACTGCACTGACTACAGAAGTGCGTCGGCAATATCATCTGCACGGTCTTTCGTTGCCCTACCTCAGTAGTCAGGCTGACTGCAGACAAAAGTCTTTATGTCAGCATAGAGGTACAGGACATTACTCTCAAAGCTGCCTCCCACGAGGGCCTTGGCCCAGTTCCTCAGCTCTTCTCTGCTGAAGGATTCTCCCTGGAGTGGGGCAAAACACATGACAGGAGATCGAGCCTATCCACGGTCTTGCCAGTGGTCTGCTGAAAGTTCAAGGGTATATTGAGCCTTCTCCCTGTGCTTCAGTACATCCAGATGTCAAATTCAACACGCTTCTCCTATTGGTGAAGTGCAAATTGTAGTCTGTAACTCATGTTAGATATTATACCAGGCAAATATTTAACTCTGCTTCTGGAAGAACTGCACTTTTTATTCTACTTCCACAACGGATGGATATAAGTCCAGTGAAAATTCTTCTGGAAAGGGCAAAGACAGTTCAGTAAAATCCAGACTAATTTAAAAAAAATAAATAAAAGTTTCAAGAATGTTTAAAAGTTGTCATTAAATTGCACTATAACATACCTCTTTTCTTGCCTATGGGTGGGGTGGGAAGAGGCACGCAACTATTAGACAGAAACAGTTTTATGCTAAGCCTCCATTCATTATTATAACACTTTTCATGTCCACACTCAAAAAGGCAATAAAACATGCTACGTCACAACTATGTTACTTTACTTTTTTTTAAACATGCCTGCACCTATAGTGTTAAGAGAACCTAAAGCTTTGCTATGATGATTGCAACTGCATGTCATAGCAGATGAAAGGCAAAAAAGCTGATTAAACATATGCAGGTTCTCTTTGCAAACATGCACAAGAACAGCCAAGAGTAATCATCAGTCTTTGCACATTAAACTGAAGAAATGGATACATACTACCTTGTCCACGTAACAAGGTGATGAGTATTTTATAAACGTACAGTGTTATTCAGTGCAGTACCTGATAGAAAAGCATACCTTTAAATGGGCATCATATGTAAATCCTAACTTGCCTCTAGAGAGGAAACCTCTCCCTTGTGGATGTCAGTTTGGCCATCTTAAAGAGCAATTTTTGGTATTCTTGCATGGTCACTCTAGTTCTAAGCAAGCTTAGCTAGACAAACAGTAGAATTTGACGACTCCTTGTATGGCGCTGGGTGGCGAGAGGGCCGCGGACTACCTCAAGCAAGTCCAATGGACCCTTTCAACCTCTTCCTTTACAGCATTTCACCCTTCATTTTCGAAGGCTTTTAACCTGTGGGGCTTCAAATGACTTAAATAACAAACAGCCTCTGGGAATGTCAATCTTGACCATCTTCCAGTTGTTCATAAAAAACAATCAGTCAAGCCAGGAGCAGTCAGCAATTGAGGAAATAGAAAAATAAGCCCAGAAGTATATTCACTAGCACTTTTTCAAGGTCTTTCAAGGAGGAAGAAGAAAAGAAAACACCTTGTTTACTCATCTTGAACAAAGAAACCTTTTTTACTCATTTTAAAAAAAAAAAAAAAAAAAAAAAAGGAATTTTACAGTTTCTGCCTTTGCCTTCCGAAACAAAAGACAGAGTACATCAGTAAGTGCATCAGCCAGATCCTCCTTATTGTCTGCTTTTCTCCCACAGAGTAAGCATAGCAAGTCCATTCCCAGAGCTAACACCCCTTGGGCTACCAAACCTCACCTTTACCAATTACCACCAGTCAACAGGGGTAACCTGCTTTCACAAACTAGGGGATGGAATTGATTTGAACCCCAGGAAATCAAAGCTGGTATCAAAGTGCTGCTAACAGAGTACAGAAACACTGGTGATCAGTAAAGAAGGTACAGAAGTGGCTCTTGTTATGAACGACATGGAATAGGTACTGGGAGTTTTCCATTCGTGAAAATGGGTCATTAAACACAGGGCTACCACCAATCCCAAAGCTATCTGAACCATTCTGAGTATTCTTCAGCTTGCAATCCGTTGCTTGCAAGAAGTGAAAGCTCCCCTTTTAGAGCATAGGTTGTCAGCAGAGATTTGTTCTTAACCAATCACACCACGACGTTTCACTACCACAATGTTGCTGGTAATCAGAGGGGGAGTTTTCTTTTTATTGAAGCCCAATATTTGGAAGGTGGTGACCCATGTTCTACAAAATAAGCATGGAAAACTATTTTTGTAGCAATAAAAAATAAATAACAATTAAAAATCAGGGCAAGGTTTTGCTACAAAAAGCCATCATATTTACTTAAAAGAAACCACCAACAAACAGGATGAAGGTACCACTGAAATTTCATATGAGGAGGGAATTCAGTTCAGGAGTTCAGGAGTAGTTAATTAGAGCTGAGGAAATAGTTTATAACAAAAAGGCTTCTCGCCAAATTTATTGATTGTGAATATGTGAAAAACAGATTGCCGGCTACACATTTATTTACTATCTGAATTTACAAACAAATACTTGGTTTGTATTCTGTGGATTGAATGCCGTGAATATTTCACAGTGTTTACCAAATGTGCGTCTAGGGTGAAAAGGGTCATAATACACAGAAGCAGAGCTGGCCAGAAACAGCAGGAGGGGAGAAAATATTTCCTAGAAAAAAAATAAGAAAACAAGACTTGTGCCAAAAATCCAAAAACACATCTGAAAGATGCATCAGTATTTTCTACAGCAATAAGGATGCATTCCACAGAACTAACACTGCAATGGGTGCTGCTAAGAAGTTTCATGGAAATATGCCCATTGCCTCTGCTAAATATAATTTTGATCTATCTAATGCTTCGGTTACTGAAGATAAGGTTTTTGCATGCCACTGACCTCAAATTTCAAGGACTTGAGATGTGACAGAGAGTGAATATTAAAGTATTTCCTCTCCACTCATGACTCCAACAAACAAAGCTAACATTTTTTTCGTGTAACATTTTAAACATTTAAAAACATTCTTGCTATGAGTTATAATGTACAAGATCAGATTTTACTTGAACTTTTCTGAAGAAATAATGGACAAGACAGAAAATTCTCTAAAACTATCGTACTCTGACCAAATGCCAAATCAAAAGAAAACTAATGTCAATTATTTTTTTTAACTAAAAATTCAACTCAATAACATCAAAGAAAGGCTTCTTTTTATAAGGTCAGATATGGATACATTTCTCTCTCTTTAATTTCAGAAAAAAAAAATGGTTTCAGTATTTCTGGAATAAAACTTTTACTAGCATTCCTGGCTCCATGATACGTTCAGTGTGTGTTTATTTCTATCCATTCAACCTAGACTGAAAACAAACTTTCGAAGAAAAAAGCACTTCTTGCCTGATGGCAACCCCCTTTTAATTTCTGGCCAGCTCTCTCTTGAATACCTTTTCTCCCAATTGTGTTCCCCAGTGAGTTATCCTCTCCAAGGCACATCACATCCATTATGAACGCTTTGAAGTCTAATGCTTGTTACCTGCAACTAAAGGAGGACGTGGGCTTGCTGCTGGCATTCAGCAAACACTGATGGAAAGAAGACATGATTGTTTAAATGTCCACTGGCAGCAAACTCAGAGGGATGTCAGTTCGCCCACAGCTGACTCTTACCACAGTTCAAGTGAATGTTTGTGAACAGGTTTTCCCTGTATTTGCTCAGCTCTATTTAATGAAACATGCTTGGCTGCCTACAACAGAGGGGATTTCTTGCAGTATGCTCACTGAACTCAGTTACAGGCACAAATCTGAGCTGGATTTGCTCAGAACAAAAGTCATGTTTGTTGCCTATCATCCCAAACAGGGAAACCTACTGAAGGGCTGGATGGAGGGGCAGGAGGATACAGGTTCATCATCACCATGGATGTATGCTGGGTTTCAGAGATAGAGACAGGGTTGGATGAGCATGCCTTAGTGAAGGAGTTCCGAGCAGCGAAGCCAGGCTGGCCCTGCGCAGCCATTCAGCTTCAGAAACAGACATCAGCATGCAGTTACCTGAGGTTTCTTCACCTTAATGATCCAGGTGGGAGGCACAATGACAGCAGCATGAGCCCCCAGGGAACATGGCTCCTCAATGTGATGTAGCATGAAACAGGTGACTTTGTTGTGAAACTGGAAAAGAGGAAAAGAGCTGAGTCAACAAGAAAGCCAAGAAAGACAAAGGGGAAGCATGGAGAAGAAGAGGGTGATGGTACAAAAATTGGAGCAATGTTCCCAACTCCACCATCTTCAGGTCCTTCAAACCATGGAGCTTTAGGAACGTACAACTGAAGATCGTCTTCCCTAGCCACGCCTTCTTACAAAAAAAAGGAAAGAAAACACCACCCCCAAAAAAATGAGAAGCCAGCAACTCCTACTTAAACTTAGATCACAGACTGAAGACCACAACCTAATTTGATGCAGCTGTATGTATTAAGCGCCCCTTGGCTGTTTGAGCTAGCAGCAGCAAGGCATTGATGGGAGGTACCCAGCAAGTACATTGTGCACCAAGACTCTGCTCCTAGAAGATTCGTGCCAGCCAGGTGAACTTATGGTGTCTTCGAGCAAAAGGAACAGAAATGACAACACTGGTGGTGATTCATAGAGGGAGAACCCTGAGAGCCAGCAAAAATAAAATTGCTTGCAGTGCGGCCACTCAGTGAAGCTGCTACCAGCCTCCCTGAGTATTATTCACTTACCGCCAGCTTGCACCAGGAACAACTGATGGCTACAATCTCTTTACTATGGAAGGAGAATTTCTGCTGAAAGCCCTAGAATAAGTAGGAAAAAAGGATTAAGTTCCTTCTGACCACAAGAAAATTTACAACTTTTAACTCTTGCCGGGTGCCTGAACTAGGCTAAATCAGTTCATGGCAGTGAGATACACTGGTTCAGCCTCAAAGCCCTTAGACACCTAACACATTTTGGGGGAATAAAACAACGACAGGATTCATAGAGAAGGCTCTTCAACTGGGGCATTTTCACACACACTTTTAAAAACACTTCTCCAAAATTTTATGCTATTTCTTAGGCTTTGTAGTTAAAAACAACGGAAGGAGAAATAGAGAAGGAATGTCTATTTCAATTAATTTCTACAGACCTGAGATTCACATTTTCAGTTGAACAACACATTCTCTCTTTGCAGTTGTTTGCTCCAAATATAAACAAGAATCTGAATGTTTCTTTTCCTTTTATTTTCTTTCCTTAAATACAGAGTGGAACCAACTACAGTGTCTGTGTGGAATAGTTCTGATTAGGAAATTAAGTTTATTGTGTTATTGAGCTGACTCGGATCAAAATTTTTTTAGTAAGTTCCAAAAAACCAAGATAGTCTTATTCAGATAAAACAGATTTTAAAAAGTATTTCTTTACAGTTTTAAAGAGAAAACAAACCACCATTACCCACAAATATGAGGTTTTCTTCTCCCACAGAAGAGTTTCATTTTGTACAATGGAATTTCAGCAGACATGTCACTTTGGTCTAAATTCTAATGTTAGAAAATACCATTGGGTCATCTACACCCTTCTTGCAACAGGCAACAAATGGTAAATTACAGCCTAAAACTTTGTGTTCTTTTATAGCTTGTTTTAGCCAGAGAAAGAATTGATACGGGTTGATGGTTGCAGAGATGGATGGTCCAGAACTTCACTGCACAGTCACCTTCACTGCTTAGATTTCAAATTTGCAGTTGTCTGGTTCCTTTACTTCACTTCTATCAAGCCTCTCTACTACATTAAAGAGCCCATCACCATCCAAAATTTTCCAGTTCAGTCTATCAAGTCATGAAGTTGTGATTTAGTTTTCTTTTTGACAGGCTGAGTTCTACCTAAAAGTCCTACATACTGGACAATGCCCAAGACCCAATGAAAAGAGTTATAACCTGATTTAGTAACATCTAATAGGACATTGCCTCACTGCTTCTATAATTAAGGTCCTTCTTATCCTAGCTGCTGTGGAAAGGAAGATGGACACCTGCAAGAAAAATGAGCCTCTTAGTGCTCAGTGCAATGACAATATCAAGCACACCAAGAAGCAGAATTAAATGAACAACCAAAAACCCATCCAGAGACGCACTGGTCTTGTTTAAATGCAGGACTGAGCTACAACCTGTCCGTACGTGGTAGATGAGGACAGCCCTGTCCATGCTCCGAAGAGGAGGAGGGTCTCCCTGTCTGCCCACCATGCAAAGTGTACATTGCAGCTACTTCTTCAGGTGTGCCCAGCACGTACTCAAATCAGCTTGCCAGATGGACCACACCACCAACTAAGCCTTACTCCTAAAGAGGCTTGTGTCACCTCTGCCTAGATTTTCTTTTTCCCCAGTCTTGCCCCTAATGCCTCAGGTTTTACATTCAGAGAAATTCAAAAAGTAGATTCTTCATAACAATGGCAATTTGGCAGATTCAGGTACAGTAATGGAGCATGGTCAAACGGCTTCACAAAGACAAGCTGGCCAGCTGCTTCTGGCTGGGCAGATCGAGTCTGTCATGCGTTGCAGGCACAAGAACAACCAGAGTGACAGCACGTATAAGAGTGCTGGAACGGAGAACTAACACCGGACAAAACGCTCTGTTCTCATTCACTTAGACTAGCGCTTCCTAATGTGTCTCACAGACTTTAATCTTTATTGTCCCCAAATTATTGCAACCCCTCATGGGCATGAAATACTTTGCTTTGTTCTGCTTTGTAACAAGCAGGGGAGAAATTCTGCTCTCCCAAAACCTCCACTAATAAAACCTAGAATTCAGTACATTAATTCCATAGCCCATCAGTGGTGTATTTTAAACATATGGACTGAGCAGCTTGTCTGGTTCTGGATGGGCCGTTTTTCATTTATTCAGTAAGCCATTTGGCTTCTCGGGAGTCATTAGAGAAAATTATATGCAATAAACACATATTAATGATAAGTAGCAATAAAACACCACTTTTCTTCCTCAAATTGCTTTAGAAATGCGAGCTAATGCTTCCTAAGGATACGTTTGAGGTAAGACAGCAATTAATTGAAAGCTAGCTGTACAAATGAAGGAACTGATGAAATGGAGTGAGGCACTGCAGGTCACAGTGAGATTTAATGGGGACTATCCGGTTGAAACAATGGAGCCACCCATATTCACCAGAAGTGATCTCTTCTGCCTTCTCTCCATGAAAAGGAAAACTGAAATTCAGCTATCTTGCTCCTGGGTCACGCAAGGAGGTCTTCTGCACAAATTTAGAAATATTGGGATAGGAAATTCATTTCACCTTTGTGAGAATATTGGCCCAACAGTACCTGATTAGCCCTGATTCACTGGCACCCAATTCCTGTACAACACATGAAATTCCATGCTGTGAGCTGCGCCTGCGGAAATAAACAGTTGTGCATACCAGAGGAAATATATTTGGAGGAAAAGAACACCTGAATCCTCAGCTTGTGCTAGTGATTACAATCTGTCTAAATAACTGGGATCAAAGTTCACATTAATATAGACACCCATGCGCACAAACGGAGCACACAGGGTTTACTACCTCCAACAAGTTTTGGTTATATTCTCAAATGTATTTAACATTAAAGAGTATTTTCACATCAGCATTAGGGTTACTAATAATTTATTTTTATATATATTTTCCTGTAATATTTCTTCCCTTTTTAATGTTCTTGGAGATATTCCAATGCAGCATTACTGTAGGAGAGCCAGGTATGATTACAACTCTAATACAGACAGCAACAGAAGCACTTGGATGGCAATCTCTGCTAAAATGAAGAGCTAGAATTGCCTTTCAACTACTAGAAAATTCAGTCCTACCATTATATACAGCTCTGCATCAATCCACAAGCCTTTAAAGGGACCAGTAAAAGAAAGAGATTGACACTGTAGCTGCACACTGCGTCTGTGCAGCTGACACACTTCTTTGGACACCACAGAACATAAGAAGAAATAGAGTGCCTGTTTAGCATGATGGTCCAGAGACATTCTTAGTCTCAGAAAATCCCTAAGTCACTAGTAACTGGAAGTATATGAGGAAAGAATCATAGAAAGTTTTGGGTCGGAAGGGACCCCTAGAGGTCATCTAGTCCAACGCCCCCGCAGCGATCAGGGACACCGCTAACTAGATCAGGTTGCTCAGAGCCCTGTCCAACCTGGCCTTGAATCACTTTGCATTCATCCTTCAGCTTCTATTACTGCACACAGTCATGGACTGGATGCCAGGTCACATGGTCTGAACATTCTTACGTTGTATTAAAGAAAAAAAAAATCACCCTAATTTCTCTGATGATCCCAGGTAAAAAAACACCCAATGAGATCTAAAAGCTACAAAACTCTCTTTACCCTGCCTGCAAGAAAGAGAAATGAGTTCTTAAACATCATGAATGGTGTAGAGAATGTGGTTTGGTAACATTTTTTACAATCGCTTCCAACACAAGAGCTATGAAGCATTAGAAAAAACTAGTAACAGGTTCAAAACAATCAAAATATGGCTCTTCTCACAGCACATAGCTAAGTTTGGGAATTCCTTGCTAAAGGGTGTTGTTAATGCTACAACTTTGCAGGAACTCAAGGAGAGACTAGACAAGACCACAGGAGAAAAAGTTATCCTAGGCTGTTAAATGTAAAGACATTCCTCCTGGAAATTCATGGGACACGAATTCTTATAGGCCAGGAGACTGTTCTGGGGGTGCATCACTAAACACCTTCTCCATCCTATACTTTTCTATAATAAGGCACTGTTGAATACTAGGGTCGATGGTACTTTGGCCATCCTTCTATTACGGTCTCCTGTTCCAAAAAAGAAGGGGAATCATCAGAGCAAGTAGACAGAACTGGATCATTTGGCTCCACTGTACTCAGTAAGATTTTGAACCAGACTTTCCATGCCCCCTTCCCTGACACCAGTTTCTGCATATAGTACTTTTGCAGTACAGCAGTGAAATGGCCCCTGGGAGGGAGAAGAGAACTGAAGCCCAGATGGGGCTGTGTAAGCTGTATCTGAGCCAGCAAGAGATGTGTAACCGCGGGAGCACAGGCTGTGCTGGGACTGTGGACACTAAGCAAGGATTTTCTGAGAATTTTATTTTTGACTAGCTGTAGTCTGGTCCTGTGGCCTGAATGCCTGTAAGGAGCTGCAGAGTTAACTTTCAATGAAGTTTAATCTAAAAGGAATTCAGTTCAGTTGCTGCAAGACTGTCCCATGCGCGAACCATGGTAAGCGATGGCAATCAGGATAAACCCTTCCAAGCTGCACTTCTGAAGCACCAACATAGACACCTCTGCTCTCCAGCTCGCAGAAGTGTCAGCCATGGCACAGAAGGCACACAATACAAAACAACAAAGCCACGCGAAGGATATTGGGTTGCATTAATTCCTTTCCACTGGCTTATGCCTTGACGTGTAAGGTGGGTATATCCTAAATGTTCACTTCTACTTTCTTTACTCAAACTATTATTAACGATCATTAACAAATTTAACCATCCCGTTCCAGCCATGGGATAGGACTAACAATGGTATCTACCAGAATCAGTAAGTGTTCCATGAATAACACTTTCTTTTATTGCTTTAAATTTACTGCCATTCCATTTTGATGACAGTTCCCTTTTTCTTGCATGACATGAGAATATAAAAGATAGCTCGCTCTCAGAGATAAAAGAAATGTAACAGCAGAGCACAAGAAATACAAGTATTTTGCTGCAATAGGAGACTGCTTGGCCAATAAATATAATGGGATTTTTTTTCTTGTCATTGTTTTCCCTAATCCTTTCTTTTTCTTTAGAAAAAGCAACTCTACTACAACACGCTCATGTTAGTCTTAACTGAGTATTTTTTTCTGAGACGAAAACTGTGATTTCCCCTGAACTTCTCCATATCAGTCAGGGCTGATAGGAAGTTTAGGATAAACTGGTCACGCTGCCCACGTGAGTGTGCCCAGCACAGGTTTTGATATGATGGGCAGTAAGTACTCCCACAGGAAAATGGGCTCCCAATGCCTCTAGGGGAGATCCAGGCCAAAATGGCAGAGGAAAAAGGCAATACCACTGCAGAGTCGTATCCTAAGAACACGGCATGCAAAGTGCCTTGCTGCACTGTTCACACGCTACTTGCTGTAAAAAGGACATCACAATTTTTATTGCATTCCTTGTTGCAGCTGGTGATCTACACCAGTATCCAGATACAAATCTGATTTTCCTCTCACTGAAGTGCTGTGCCATGGAGACCAGACACAGTCTTACTTACTAGCTGATGCTTAGAGGGAGGCAAAAGTATAATGTGGCATTAGAGAAACGAAATTAAACCCCTGTGTTAATTTATTTAAATATCTCTCAACAGATTTCAGGGGTTCATAGTATTTCAGAATAAAGGTCTTCAGTAGCTAAGGTACTTCTTACCCCTTTTTATAAACAAACTTCTACGACCTATGCAGCAGAGGAAATGTGAAACTGTCTCACAAAGGTTAGAGTCTGCTGGGGCAAAAAGAAAGAAACAGCCTTTCTTCTTCCAGAAGCCTGAAACAAACAGGCCATCATAAATTTTGGCACAGAGGACAGCACTGTAGGAACACCGTATTGGCACAGGGCTGGCTTAACGCAGAGAGCAGCTCAAGGAGCCACAGCCTTCATCCTCCTCATCTTCAGCAGCCAGTGCAGCGCAATGTCCCGGGACACGCGATGTGCTCATTCCTGCAGATGCAGCCGCCTTTTCTCTTCCCATGTGTGAATCAGGGCTGCTACCACCCAACATCTCAGGCTTGTCATCTTCTGCTTAAGAGAGTCCAAGCGTTTAGAACAGCAATTTCAGTGACTAGAAGGACCTGTTGGCTACTCTGAATTTGTAAGTGCCCAGTGTTGTGCTTGTGCTGCGCTGGAAATCTTACCTTTCCACACTGCTTACACTTCCCCTCCTGCCTCCGCCTGTGCACCCAGTGGTGTCGGACAAAGTTCTGCAAAAGAAGGACAAAATACATGTTACAGGAAGCCGTGGCAGCTTGCACTCAGAGGTACCATCTGTGTGAAATTGGTTTACAGACATCAAAGGAAAGGTCCCTTCAGCCAATGCAATCATTTCTGGAGCGAAACTCAGCAGTCGCCATGGGAAACCTCAGACTGAATCAAATCTGCAAGAGGAATAAGGATGAGATGGTCATCTTTATCCATGTTGAAACGCACCCAGAACTACTCTCTCAGTACTCTTCTACAAAAAGAAGAGAGTTCATTACACACTGCGGAGACCCAAAATGCATCACCCAAACGCAGAGCAGAGGTGCCCAAACACCGCTGCATCCAGCCACAACGCAGCGCCCCGCTCTATTCTGCTTGGAAAAACTGCCTCATAATGCAAAAAATCGCAAGTCAACGCAGGAGAAGCGAAGCAGCAGTCACTGAAACAGTCTTTTCTCCTTGTTTGGACTACTTACCTTTGGGTGGCAGCAAGAGATGGGAGGGGGAGCAGGACTGCTGCCCCTGCTTCTGTGCAGGCAAGGGGGTTAAGCAGGGGACTGCCCGCACCACGCTGTTATGCCAGCCAACATCGAACCTCCAGTGTGCCAGGGAATTGAGCTACCTCTGCTAAGAGCAAGCGGGCCTCCAAATCAGCTATAAAAGTTAAGAGGTGTTTTTGAAACACTGGCTTCTAACTATGTAAGACAGATATCTGGTATATCAATAATAACAGTAAATAACCAGCACCTTCAAAGGAGCAGAATTCGTACAGTAGCTGGAGGCAAACCATAAAATTTTTGAATGTTTGATTTTTTTTTACTAGAATAATTTTAGGACACCAGAAATACTTCTAGAAAAAAAAATTAAGGGAAAGGCAAATGGAAGAAGAGGAAAATAGAGACAAAATTTAAAAACCCCCACTAGATCAAAGGTCAAGAAGAAAAAAATAAATGCTACCAAAAAAAAAGAAAAAAGAATAGCTGAATGAATGGGAAAAGAGACAACAGAAAGATTAAATGGTTCCTGTCAGTGTAAGTAATGGAGTGCTTCAGCTAGAATTCATTTTACATTTATTCTGGGGAGGAGAACATGTCCCACTGGGAACCAATACTCTGTCTAAGACTCCTCTGAATCTAAAAGCACTGCTGCAGCTCCACACCAGGCGGATGAGCACACAGACCAGATGAAAAGCAATCATCGTGTGTCCATTACTTACTTCTCTTGGAGATCTGGAGCTTCCTTCTCGGAAAGTTGGTTTGCAGCGAAAATTAATCTGGCATTAAAATAAAGCTGTTAGAACCGAAAGTGAGCTGAGAGAGAATTTATTCCAACATGTTGATCTAGGCCAAACTTCCAAAATATTTATTGTCTATTAAAATATTAGCTTCACCAGCTGAACAAAGTAACTCACCTAGGTGCCAGAAAATCTCTTTTCATATGCCATAATAACTCTCCTTGCTAGATCTCTACACAGCCCTCATCTTCACTAAGGCTATTGCTGCCTGCTCGGTTCAACTATCTAAATTGTCTCTCCCTTACCGAGAAGAAAACTGCTTCATCTGTTTTTTGCGGAAGATCATTTGCAACTAAAAGTAGACTTAAGCTGAGGTCTCAAAAGTTGATAGGAGCTGGAAATCCAACTCTTAACACCTTTTCGCACCTCCCAGCTTTACGCCTTCATAAGAAAATCTGTGGAGAAATCTTCATTCACATGAAGAACTGTGCAAACTACCCCACATTTCTACCTTTTGCTCAGATCAGGCTGCTTTTATCCACCTTCCCAACCACAAACCATTCGGGGAGCGCTGTACTGCCTGATGCAGTGGTGTTGCCTCCTTCAGGTGGGAGAGCAAAGACAGAAAGAGGACAACCAGAGCTTCCATGAACAGAAAGCATTTTTAGGAAGGTGAGGAGAAAAAGCGTTTAACAAACAACAAAGGCGTCCTATGAGAAAAACCTCAAAATCTTTCAAGAAAAGAAAATCAATAGAGATAAGACCGGAGGGTTTTTAGAGAGAAAAAAAATACACTGAAGAAGAGAGACGCATAGAATAAGGCCAAAGTATATGCGAGGTAAGGATGCACAAAAATAAATGGATTTAAGCTTAAGTCAACAAGCCTTCAAAGAATAACACTGAAGAATACTGCACAGCCATGCTTTTTTAGGAAGGTAGAAAGGATGTCGTTTCCCCAAATTTAAATACAATTCTTTGCCCTCCTGTATAAAGAAGTTCTTCTCTCATTGAACAACGGCCTTCAAAATAATAGCTCAAGGGAGAAAAAAACCCTAATAACCCCCCCAAAGTAAACAAAATTACTATTACCTATTACTTAAGAACAAACGAAAGCCATAGCACTAGTAAGTCTTCCTCCATTGCTCTTCACCCGTAATTGCAATTCATTGTCTCACTGCTGAGTCGTGGCAGGTTGGAAAGACACCCAGCTTATATTTACTTTACTCACAACTTACACCTGTGCAGGGAGGGCCAAGCAAAAGACTTCTGTACCGGTTTTAAACTCCACGGGGTTTAAGAGGGAAGCAGACTTTATAACGACCCTCTGCCAAGAGGTGAATTTCGTCACCTCCAGAGCAGCATAAACAAGCTCAAGAGAACAGGTTTCATCTAAGTGCTCATTTGCTCCAGCTGGCAATGCCACCGGCTCATGGGGCTATGGAGAATCAGCACTGCTGCTGCCAAAGGAAGTCATGAAAAATTCACTGGTAACATTTGGTGCTGAAAGCATGTGCTAATGCTAATTTCACCGTGGGTAAAAGCATCGGGGGTGGGAATGGTACTTCTCCAACTTGGTATTATGGCAATCACTGTGACATTTGTCAACACAAGTCCAAATACTTAGAAAAGAAAATCTCTTTCCAAAGAGTTGCTGCTAGAAATTTGTTATGCATCAGCTTCTTTTATGGAGAACAACATTGCAAAACATACAGGAGTGAAAACGAAGCTCTAATGAAATCAATGGTGAAATTCCCACTCATATTTCTTTACACATATCCCACCAAGAAAGATAAAACAGTGAGGGGAAATCTCTTTAACACGTTACCAGTTAGGCATAATGAAGAAGAATCACTAATGGGAAGAGAACTCAGCGAGATATGTTCTATTGGCACTTGGGGGTGACCAGGTCTCCTTGAAGGAACTGAGAAGCAGGACAGGTGCTCACAGAAATAACAATGCTATAAAGCAAAGGTTTGATGCGTGCCATTTTAAAAACAAAAACATGATTTCTGAGGTTTTGAAGACAAAACAGTATAGTCTAGTAAACTGGAAAATGTTCATAGTAGCATCTTATGCTGCATTGCTCATAATAAGTATAGCTGTTATAAGATGAATTATGCTGGGTTCAGCTGAGCAATTTTGAAAGTCCAGTCTTGTGCACGACATGGTACTGCATTTTCTAGCTTCAGCTTTCTATCTAGAAGTAGAGGGAAATTATTTTTTAATCACAAATACTTTGAAAGCTTTCTGTGGTTTATTTTTGTTGTTGGGTTTCTCAATGGTTCACAGCGTTTCATAGAATCATAAAATGGATTGGGTTGGAAGGGACCTTAAAGATCATCTGGTTCCAACTCCCCTGCCATAAGCAGGGACATCTTCCACTAGACCAGGGTGCTCAGAGCTCCATCCAACCTGGCTTTGAGCCCTGCCAGGGAGGGGGCAGCCACTGCTTCTCTGGGCAACCTGGGCCAGTGTTTCACCACCCTCATGGTGAAGAATTTCTTCCTAATATCTAATCTAAATCTGCCCTCTTTCAGTTTGCAGCCATTCCCCCTGGTCGTATCACTACACACCCTTGTGAAAAGTCCCTCTCCATCCTTACTGTAGGCCCCCATCAGGTTTGAAGAAATCTATTTTAAAAAATAAGCTGTGAGTTTAAGTCAACTTTTTAAGAAATATATTGTTAAAACAGCTATGAAAACCTACTTTGACATACAGTGTTTTCCAGATTGAAACCTCAGTAGCAGAATTCAATGAGTGTTGTCCGCGTCAGGCTCCAGAAGGTGGCAATATCTTACCTTCTCCAACTGCTCCATGCACGCGTTGTGGACCACAATCTTGCAGGCAGCACACTTCCTCCGCAGAGCAGATTTCTGCAAGAGGAAAGGGAGAAGGGGGTGCATGAAGGTGTGCTATTCCCAGGAGGAAAAAAGTTAGCTGTGAAACAGGAGATGGTTCGCTCCTTAGGCAACATACTTTCCCTCACCCGCCACCCCTTGGTGCTCTCATCTGTTCTGTACATTGGAAAAAGGTCTGAAGTTCTTCCAGTTGAGATTCGGTCTTTGCGAAAAAGACAGAGCCACAGCACTCCAGCTTGTGAACTAGAAGTGAAAGGCTCCCGTTAGGCAGCAGATAAGGCTGTTAACGGTGCAGATCATCACTCTAAAAGGGAGCGGTATATGAAGATGATAAAGGAGAGCCAGTGACAAACCGCACATGCAAATCAGAGGACTCCGACCAGTTTGGAAGAGTATGTTTCACGCTTATCAGATAATATGTAATTTGATGGGCCTGACCGTGGCCTTGCAGAAAAATACTTGGGTACCTGGGTCATTTAGCAGAGAATAACCACCTTCCCACAAAATGTTGTTAAATGCTTATCGTACGTTACAGCAGGGACAAAATTCTCAACCTAATTATGCTGGTTAGTTTTATTAATTTCAGTAGGATTTAAAAAATAATTTCCATTGAATCCCCTGGGCCAAAGCATATCAAAGGCAAGAGAATGCATCCACGAGAGAGAAAATATATTTATTTTTTCTCTTGCACATACGCAATGTAATAAACCAGATGGAATTAATTTTCATAGAAGTCTAACTTATAGACTTCCGCTTGAGGGACAGAAAATTTATAAACATGCAGTAAGTTGATAGATTTGCTTCAGATTGTTACATTCAATTTACTCATGTTCATTTAAATCTCTAAAATTTTTTCTTTAGACTTTTCAATATATTGTAAATAAGCTTGAAAAGAAACTTGGAACACAGCTTCAGCTCACATTATAGACTAATTATTATAATTTTACTGAGTCTCCTAATTATGAGTCTCATACCTATCTGGATACATCCTAACTGTGCGTGTTCACATGTATGTGGAGTGTTGTTCTAATGTTCCTCCTGGAGAATCATGACACTGTATAACAGACTAAGCTTCCATGTGTTCTGTGACTTGTTAACTTTACATACGTTTTTAGTCTCTGTGTTTACCAAGAAGAGCAAGGCACCATAAAGGAATTGTTCCCTAAGATGAAAAACTGCAAAAAGCAAACAAAGGTAACGCCTTATGAGCAGCTATTTTCCTAATATCTTGCTTTTTAAATTGTTCTCATGATTTTTGAATGCTGGTGGCATTGCAAGTAATTACAACCATTTATAGTATATTAAAATTTCAGACTATTTTTTTGATTACTTCTAACTTCTTTGATTTATCATGAAATGTCAACTCCATATTCCAGAGATTATGAGTTAATGTTCTGTATAGGCTAACTTTTAATGCAAAGTCTGGGCAGCTACTGCTTATTTCTCACCACGTCTCCTTCAGAAACACTGGACTGTAAGTAGTCTAGAAGTAAAATAGCCAAGTCAAAGGAAGACCAGGACAGGTATAGGAAGATGCAGTGTCTTCAAAAGAATCAAACTGGAAAACCATTAGCCTTTTGACAGGTGAAGTTAAACTAACCACAACTAAAGTTAACTGGATTTTCATTTCCACCTCTGGTCCTTGAGCTAATGAAAGCCCCATACACTGTAACATGTTATAAACACAGATAGTGCTTTCCCCAAAGGCAACCAATACCCTACTGCCTAAAAGTGAAAAGAATCTCAGCTAGGTCAAGTAAGCACCAGGCATGTAAGAACTGAGCAACTTTAAACTCTGCTGCTTCCTAAATATGACTCGGCATCTCTGGGTCTATCGGCTGGAAAAGCTTGTCACCACATAAGATGTCTCTCACTTTTTTTTTTATCTGGGAATGTTAAGTCAGTGGGTCTCCTTCACCAGCTACATTAAACGGTCCTTCCAGCTCCTACAGAAATAGACCTCAAAGTTAAGACACAGCCGTGCAAATTGCATGCAACATCTTGAATTTACATGCTACTTTCAATGAGCTAAATCATGAGGAAGTATTTACTCAGTTTTAGAACAGAAAACTTCTATTAAGAACAGTCGCACTGGGTCAGACCAGAGGTCCACTCAGCCAGAAAAATCCTGTCTCCAGCTTCTGCCAAAACCCAGTGCCTCAGGACCAGTATAAGTGCAGGGCAAACACAGTGACACTTCCCTTGAATCGTACCCCACCATCAGCAGCCTGTTACTGTTGGAACTTAGCTTCAGCAATCTTTGTAAGCAGGCATCGACTTCCCAGGCTAGGCCCTAATGTTATATGCCATAAAGCCAACAATTTGCTTGAGAAGTTATGGGGAATGGATATTAAATTGGAGCTACAGAAAACATTAGTATTTTGGACCAAAGTTCCTCAAAAAATGGGGGTGATTAGTGAATCAAAATGCTTCAATTTGAATCAAATGATTTGAGGGTTTGGTTTTTTCTGTTTTGTTTTGTTTTCCAATAAAAACAAAAAGATGGCATCACAGAGAGTCACAGGCAGTATCCACAAGCACTCCAGCGAAGACAGACTGCCCTTACACTTTGCAGTCCAAGGGCCAGGATGCTCCCTTGAACATGGACTCAAAGCAAGGGCTTGAACGCAGGTTCCTCACCCTCTCGAGGTTTCCTAAATGTCAAGATAAGAGGGGGATTTTTTTCTTGTCTTCTTCTGAAGCAGTTTAACTGAAATACTAGGTGAAGAGTTGATGAAGCAGACTGGAATTATAACAGTGACTCCCCAGCCAAAGAAGAGACACACACTGGTTGGAGATTAATCCAGTGAAACTTCTTGATACACATCATAAAAGCTTCAGTGGAAGAAGACAAACCTTGAATATTCTTGAATAGGGGAAGGACTTGAGTATGAGTGGACATGTTGCTGGTGAGTGCATTCCAGAGTTTGGAAAACTCAGTTCTAATCCTTGCAGTGATTAAAATCACAATAATTTCATCAGACCCTATTCTCAGAGACCCCAGCAAGTGATATACTCATGTATATAAATAGGCTACTTTCTTTGAATATTTCTGAACTATCTAAATATCCTAACCTTTTTTCCCTTACCATGTTAATAAAGCTTCTCATTACATCCATGCTCACTGCGTAAATAATCTGGGTCACTCAAAATTGTTTAGGGCTTTTTTCCCCGCGCAAGAAAGTACTTAGCCAGCAGCCTTTTTGCCCCTCTTACTTTCATTCTTCTTGACACAAGCATCAGCAACAACAAACAATTCAAACTCCCAAGTGTCTGAGAACTGTATCACTCTGAAGTCGAGCTTGTTACCAAAGCAAGAAAGCAAGAGAGAATGAAAACTGAAAATAACTCACTGAGAATTTGACTTGGCAGCTTTCCTCCCCCAGGTAGCAGAGGTCCCCAGAAACATTTGTCTGCAGCCACAGATGCTCTCCATTCACAGCATTTTCCTGAGAAAAGACGGTTGTTAACCTGGTTTGTGAAATTCAGCCACATAAGTATAGAGAAAAAAAAAAGAACCAATTTTTATCGCAAATTTAGAAAGAGGGAAAAAAAAAAACAAAACACAACCAAAACCAACAACTACTCAACCACATGTTGTTTTATTTTTCTACAAAACAAAGCCACAACAGTATTACCCTAGCCCCTAGCTGACCATTCCTGCGTAAAGGATGCTGATGATACAATGAATGTGACACCAATCAGAACCAGAGTAATTTTGTGTACAGTTCAGTGAAACTCTGCCCACGTTCTTCCCACATGCTGCACAGTTGAACTGGGACTCTAAATTTCACAAACATAAAATGTATGCAGAATTAAAAAAAAAAAAAAAAAAAATAGAAAGGGTTCATGTGCATGCAGTTTGCATATGAGAGTTTGTTGTACTTTCAATTGGAGAAGCCCAAAAATCTGAGAACTAGGCAAGCCAAGATAACATATTGGCTATAGCTTTAGGATGACAGGATAGTGTAGACCAGGAAAAATGTTTTCTTTAAAATGGCTGGATCAACACTGTACATTTATCAAAACATCCACAAAACATTAAGTGGCCAGGAGAGAACAGACTTTAATTTTATACCTGAAAGAGTGATACATTCAACTGAGAACACTCTCAAAAAAATCTACCTAGCACACTGACAGTTGGTAGTGATTAACAGGGTAACGTGATTTTTCTTGAACAGCCTCATTTGACCAAATCTGAACATTAATTCTATAAAAATTCTTGTTCTGAAGACATTCGGCTGCAGAAAGACTATGGTTTTCACTGGACTGTAATCCTGGCTCAACTACAAAGCCTAAGAAGTCTACCGTACACTACTTGAGCAAAGTGAATAAACAGAATTTCTGTTCAGTCAGAATTAGAGCACGATGGAAAACGCTTTGACAGTCTCTGACATTTGATTCCCACACTGCAGAAGTCACAAGCGATGATGCTTACCAAACAGATGGCGTCCGACAACAGGATGCTCTGAAATAGCCATCCTGGTTAAAATTATTTATTTAAAATACCACTGACAGTTTCAAAGTGATGAAATGAGAAAGCTTCTCTTGCCATGCGGATTTCTTAGGTAATACAGAGAAGCAGAAGTGACAAAACTCTTTGCCTTCTGGAGTACAATTGCCTCCACAATAGCCAAGACCTACACAAGTCTGCATGTGGTGCCTACCACAACTATGGCACTCATTTCAACTAAACCAAAAGAGCAAGAACAACATGTTGTTTTTTTCTGATGAGAGGTCTACCTGCCCACAGCTCTTCTAACTTCATCAGAAATGTTCCCACTAATGTCAGACTCAGCACAAGCGGCTGGATGACAGTGAGACTTGGATTTCAGTCTACTGCCATTGATCCTCCTAGAAGCTATGCTAAGGCACATGGAGGCCAGGGAAGTGATTCGAGACAGCCAGCATGGCTTCACCAAGGGCAAGTCCTGCCTGACCAACCTAGTGGCTTTCTA